AGTAAACCCTAGACCCTGAAACCTGCGGGCTTGGGATTTAAGCCTTGGGCTTTCGGGATGCAATTTGAAGGGCTAGAGTCGGCTAGAACTTCTGGTTTAGGGATGGCAGTCTGGACTAAAGTTCATGGTTAGAATATTGGGGTTGCAGCACTTTGTACAGAGTCCGCTGCAGGCATGTTCTGCAAAGCGCTCCTATGCTAGCACCTACCTAACCCCTAATAGTCAGTGATAACCTAGTTACCATTCTCCTTTCCATGCCTCCATTTCCTACATAAAACCAGCCATCTAAGTGCTAAGCCCGTTCCAAACATGACCTAACATTGCTGTGAAGTCCGTACCTCTGCTGCGCCCCCCCCCNNACCCCCCCCCCCCCCCGGTCTCCGCCCAGCCTCCTAAAGGCCTTCTATGTGCTTCTACCACCAGCTCTGATCCCCTCCCAAGTTTCCTTGGCCCAGCTTGTAAGGGACCTGGATCCTGTGCTTGAGAACGTGAATCAGATTTACTTATGAAACCATTTTTGACAGCTTAAGATGTGAAATACTACAGAATCATAGAACTTACCATGCAGGCAAGACTGGGGCCACCACAGCGCCTCTTTCTGAAAAGAAACAGGATTTCAGACTTACTAAACTTCGGATGTAAGGCTTAGGGTTAGAGACTGCCCAACATAAGGCGAACCTAAAGCGTGGCAATCCTAAGTATGATTTCCCAAGACATGCCTCTCCATTCACGCCGACGTGCCAGGTTGTTCCCAGCCTCTGCAAGAGGCCCCTACACCTAAAGGGTGCTTACAGGCAGTAGGGAAGCAGATATAGGTACCATGATAGGGGTACATATGAGGATTTTATGAACTATATTCCCATATTCCCTACGACAACCCCAATGCATACCCTATTATAATGTAGTAGTTTCCATGTTCTTCAAAATGATGCCTATACATTCCCATATTCCCTACTAAGTCCCACTCTCTGTTAAGCATGGATCCATGAGCCTGAACCCTAAACCCTAAACCACGTTGAAGGGCTGAAGGCTTGAGGTTTCAGCGCATCAGGCTTTGAGCGCAAAAAGTCCAACTGGTACCTATGGGTGGGTTGCTGTTAAGGAACTTGAACTACAGGGATATTACACCCAATAATGGAGAATCAAATGGAAAAGAAAATCGAAACTACTAGGTTTAGGGGTACAATACCCAAATAATGGAGAATTAGATGGAAAGGAAAATGGAAAATGCCAGGGGTTTAGGGTTTAGGGTTGCTGTTAACGAACTTAAGTTAAGTTGTTATAGTTGTTCCCTCCTAAGAACCAGCAAGTCAACCCTGGCAGGCTCTGGGCGATCCTCTCAGCACCAGCACCGCTGCTCCAGTATGGCATGGCACTGCGGATGGATCCAGCACCACTTAAAAAGTCATAAAACCGTGGTTTAGAGCTTAGAGCTTCCCTCGCAAACCCTGATGATAAATTCTCAGCTCCAAGAGCCAAAGATCAGAAGGATGTACCCTAAACCCTAAACCCTAAACCCTGGATCCCTGCTAGAAGATCTGAAGCCATTAACCTTCATGCTTGCAAAGCATTACTTGCACAATACTCAAGCCAACTTGAGCCAGGGTGTGAGCCGCATACTTTGTCATGCATATTAGTTTCAGTTTAATTTTCCATTGTCCCATTATAACCCAATATATATATATATGTATACATAAATATATATGTATATACCCTATATAACCCATTGTAGTAGCTGCCATTGTATTTTCCACTATCTCAATATACAGAGCATCATTCCGCTCCGGGACAAGAGCTATCATCGCCTGCTCGACTATCGCACAGCGTCCCCATGTAGCTGCGGGAGTGGGGTGGTCTCGGGGCCTCAAGCTAGGGATAAACTGGGTTGCTGTTAAGGAACTTAATTTAAGTTACTATATTGGGGAAACCCTATTACTTACTATATATACCCATTATGGTAACTTAGTTTAAGTTCCTTAACAGCGACCCAGTAAAACCCTTGCAGAAACATTGCTGAGATCTCCTGCCGGCAAGTCCTCCACACAAACCATGTATCCTCAAACAAGTGTAGAGAGCAACACATTGACATGCTGCACGTGTAATACATCCAACATGCGCCGGTTGCCGGTTGCTGCCATTGTAATGGCGTTTGCTACCGCTAGCATGTCTTCTTGGGCAGTATGTACCGCTATCCTTGCCACACTCAGATCTTGCACGTGATTCTGAGTATTTACTGTTCGGGAAGAGAACCCAAAACAAGGACCATCATTTTCAGAAAGCCAGACTTTGCCAGTCCTTTGCCCGGCAACAGGGCACGGCCCAACACACAGAAATCTGTGTCACCATATGTGGGCGCCTGAAAGATCGGTGAAGAATGTGTGTAGTTGTTGTACCTCCTGCCCAACGAAGATTTGAAAGTGTAGTCTAACCAACATCAAGCTTTTTCGTACAACTTTGACTATCGGAACATTTCCTACTGAAAGTTGTCATCCTTCAGACTCCCGGACTTCAGCATGGCTGCCGACGTGTGCGCAGCCTCTCTGACCGTCATCAAACAAGCCACAGGGCCCTTCCATGAGCTCCTGCACGGAAAGTGGGGGTTTCTCAAGGGACCCTAGGGTTGAGTTGAGTCATGGGAGGATATGATATGTCTCTCCTAATTAATTGGGGTCCATGAACTGGAGAGGTCATCATGGGCGCGCCTTCCTGCTCCCTATGCTGCGCAAAGCCTCCAATGAAGTCCACAATGAAGCTGAAGCGGACAGCAGGACGGATCCATATACTCTGTAGCAAAAGTAAGCAGGAATGAAAATGCAGCAGCAGCAGCAGCAGCAGCAGCAGCGGCAGCAGTGGCAGCAGCGGCAGCAGTGGCAGCAGCGGCAGCAGCGACAGCAGGAGCAGAAGCCCTCAACCCGATTACTCTCACCACTCGCCACCCATGCCCCGCCCTGCCTCTGCCATGTCACAGCGGGAGACTTTGTCAGCGAGCTCCTCTCACAAGGTGAACCCACTGAAATACGAAGATCTTCGTAACCCTCAAGATTCAGAGCCCGCTTTATTCCTGTGATAACACCAGGGCCTTTTTTGGGGGGCGCTAACAAAAACACTACAGAAAATTCTAACATCACGAGGGGCTCAAATATGCTAAGTATTGTCCAAGTTCTGAATCAAACCTGTTAGGGCTTTTCTAACAGTCTAGCAAGGCACATGCAAACTACACGCGGAAGTTCCAACAGCAACACCAAACTCAGACTATAACCCCTATATAACCCCAGTTTCCATTTCATTGTCCATTATCTTTTCCATGTGATTCTCCATTTCCCAATATTAAAGCCAGGTAAGCTGCATCCCTCACACTCAGATCCTTCTTTGCCAGGGGCTGCGAGAATGTCTGCTCTTGCCACTGGACGGCCTTGAGGAACAGTGAACGCACAGCAAAAGAGAGATGCCCAGAACAATTGATAAACGTGCTCATTACAACCGCATCAATTCTTGGAAAGGCAAGGATGTGTCACGCAGAAAGGGCAACTGCAACTGCAGTTTCGGCAGCAGCAACATTAGCTCTATCGGCACCAGCACAAGTGCCAGCTCATCGAACTCGAATTTTAGAGCGTGCTTCAGACCTATCAAATAACAGCCATATCTCAGGAAAGGGACAACAAGTGCACAACAAACAGCGGTAATTTTCCAGAAACAATGACATAACTTGGGACTGCTAACCTTCAAAACCCTGGAGTCGGTAACGATGAGTCTGAGCTTGAAGCTTGAAGGCTGAGGGCTAAAATCTTGAGGATGGGTAGCATTCGCTTTGGGTGATTGCGGATGTTGGCTATGTGTCATGTTCCACAATAACTTCGTCGTCCATGGGCCATGGGCCTATGCAGTGGGCCAAAGCCCTACAGTTGAAACTTTCTGACTCTAAGCACAAGACAAGGTGAAGTGCGGCGTACTCCGGAGCCAGCATCGATTTCCTGGGGGCTTCAATCAAGGTCCAGAATATGGGTCCCTAGCATGGGCGCATGATTCTATGGTCCTTAGTTTACAACGCGCACGTGTATCAACTGTACCAACACAGGCGAAATCTTGAATGTAGGCTCCACCGATTCAGTCAAAGAGGCTGGGACCACATTCGTGGTTTCCATAACCCAGCGGGGATCCCCATCTAAGCTATAGTCTTAACTCCTAGTATCACTCTTAGTAACTCCTATAATACTCCCCAATAGAATCCCTTGTCTTATCCCCTTGAGGGGTTCAGACTACAGTTAATATACTACCATCCTTGCTACAGTGACCCCCCAATTATTGGAGGATCTCCTGTTGCCGTAATGGAGCTGCCCTAAACATATACTCAAAATATAAGAATATGTAGGGTTATTTGGGGTTATATAGGGCTTAGGAATAGAAAAGCAGGGTTGACAGGAATACGTAGGGATCGAGGGTTGAATTTTATGTCTTCTGTCTTGTCGAAAACATACTAGCACTGGGGCTATTGCCACAGCTATCACAAATAGCTGTTTTTGCTGTTGAAACTAGAGAGTTGCGTTTTCAAATCATCAGAACTGTCACTCTTCTTCTGATTCTAAAGCCAACAACACAAGCCCGAAACCCTGAACTAGTAGTTTTGATGTCCTTACTGTGCCTCCGGCCCCCAACCCTAAACTCTAAATTGCTCTAAACCCTAAAGGCTAGACCATAAACCCTAACTTACAGTTGAAACCCCACTGGCCAGGCTGCAGAACCCGTTGGAGCGTGGAGTTGAGGCAGAGGTCGGTGCGATTGCCCAGTCGGAAATTGTAGCGCTTGAAGACCTAAGCTACCCAAAGAAAGAAAAGAAACAGAAATGCAGAAATACGTGCCCAAGGACCCACCTCTCAGACCCAACCCCATTCCAACCACCTTGAGCTGAAAATTGAAATGCACTCAACCCTTTCAACTCTGGAACCACTATTTTGCATGAAGGCTGTGTCTGCCGGAAAAGGCTTCGTCGCCCCCAACCACGCCGCCAGCCTTCAAACCATGTGGATACGAAGGATAATCTCAGGAGTTTGCATGAAGAAGGTTATCCGGGAAACCCCTCAAGCCTACATAACCCCATTTAACCCTACATTACCCCATATAAGGCTATATAGCTCTATATCACCCTATACAACGCTACATAACCTTATGACTCGTCCTCCAATGGACCTTTCCATATTGCCAGCCTTCCGTAAGTCTCCTGCGGGGAGGCTCGGATGCTGGCCTGGTGGACGATGAAGAGCCTCTTCCAACTAGGGTTCAGGGCTTAGGGTTGGGGATTCATGGGGTTTTCGACTTGAGGGTGTAGGGTTTAAGGTTTCGACCTTGGGGGGTTTAGGGTTTAGGCTTTAGGAATTGAGAGCTTCAGGGGCTTAGGGACTTTCAGTTTAGGATTCGGACGTTGAGGAGCTTTTGGGTGTAGGACCATCTTAGGAAATGATTTTCCAACGACGAGCTTTTTTTCTGACAAGATGGTTAGCTGTATATGTGAATGTACTAGGGGGGTTGGGTTTAGGGTTTAGGGTTTGGGGCTGAGGCATTTCAGCATAGTGGCAGGCCGCATCAGAACCGTAAACCCTAAAGGTTCGCTCTTGAAAACTCCGAACCTGATCAGGCGGGGTGCAAAATGAAGAAGTCTTAACACCAAGCAAAAAATGAAACCTATAATAGGTGGCTTCCCAAAATTGGAAATCAACTTTTTGTGGGTCCCTATAAGAAGTTGAAGTCTCCCAAAATGCTGGCTACTGCAATCAGATGCCATTCAACCTCCTCTTGCCGAAGTGCTTCAACCCGTGGATCCCAGAACAGGGTTTAGGGTTTAGGGGCGGAGTGCCTAATTTGAATCGTCCTTCTGTCGCCAAATCTGTGAAAGCGACGTCAGATAATCTTGCGAATCCCAGCCCTAAACCTTTTTTTTACCCCCAATATATCCCCATATTCTGCATAACCTCCGTCTACCCCTACAAAACCCCTACAACACCCGTGAAGCCTAGACCCTGTGAGCGACGCCTCTTGTGCCCGAAAAGCTTGATTAGCTCAGCCAGGTGCTCACCCAGCGCTTGCTGCCTGGCCCACTGCCTGAGGGTTTAGGTTTTAGGGATGAAGGGTTTAGGGTTTAGGGAGGGGTTATAGGGGATATAAGGCCATTAAGTGTACATCTCACACTGTTTAGGGGTAAGGGAGGGGATACAGGGCCATATAAGTGTGTGTATATATACACAGATAGATATAAGGACATATGTGACAGATGGGGTTCAGGGCTTTATGCTTTAGCGTTCGGGGTTTACGGTTACGCATGGAAACTGGGCTTGAGGGGGCCCCGTAGGAATTCCCGAATCATGAACACTGATAGGCCTGTCAAGTTGCATTCTGATAGGCCTTTCAGGTTGTGTTTGAAGTCGGATGCGTGGACTTCTTGGGGGAGTTGGAAACGTGGGAAATTAACCCCCTGAAATTCTTTGGCAACACCCAACCTCAAAAACCTAAACCCTAAACTGGATTGAAGCTGAAGGCCTGCCAAAGTTAACACCCCTTTGGCCACTTTCCCTGCCTCCTTTCTGAAAGCAGAGACCAGGCACTCCGGTCGCAGTCCGCCCTGGTCATAGGGTTTACGTGAGGTTTAGGGTAGGTTCAAACCCTGATCTTTTATGCCAGGGTCTACTGCAGGAAAAGGATTACAGGTTCCGGCCAGCTGCAGATCCCAAAAGCAGGGTGAAGCCATCCGAAGCCCTGGACCCTCAACCCTGGCCACCATAAACCCCCACATGCACACAGGCCCTGATTTCTACACTTAGGATTTGCAGATTTCTGCCAACATCTCTACACCATCTCTGGTACTCCCATGACAATCTTGATTTGCTTAATGATTGCTCCTATAGCTTGCCTTGTGCCTAGACCCCTACTTGCTGGTTCTTAGCAGGGAATACGGGAATAGAATCCCCATGTAATACCTACATAGTATATTCCATCATTCCCTACCAAGAACCAGTCAGCTTGTGTGAGCAAAATGATCCCGACAGCCGAGTGGCCGCAGTTACCCTTCATATCGGCAGCTTGATGTGAACAATCTACCTAGTCCCCGGGTGTTTAGGGAATGAGATGAAGGACTGTTGAATTCTCTAGTCCCTCAACCGTAAAATCCAATCCCCTGAATCCGCCGCATTTTGCCCTAAACCCTAAACAGTAATCACAAGTCCCTTAACCCAAGTCCCCCTCCCTGAGCCTAGTCCCTGCTCCCTACGGATAAGCCAGAACCACGAATCCCAAAGCCTGCGCACCTAAACCCTAAGCCCTGAACCGTAAAACCTAACCCTAAACCCTCAACTCTAAACCCCTAAACCCCTATATCCCTAAACCCATCTAAACCCTAAACCCCTTAACCTATACCCCTAAACCCTAAACCCTAAATCCCAGAACACTAAAACCGCGAGCCTGGGATTCAGCTCTGCAGGAAGAGCATCAAAGCGCCGCACTGCAGCTGCCAGATCCTCGGGAGGGTTGTAGGCCTTTATGCGTTTAGGGTTTAGGGTTTAGGGGTTTGGGGCTTTAGGGGCTTAGGATTCAGGGTTCAAGGTTTAGGGGTTGAGGGTCAAGGGTTTAGGGGTTTAGGGTTCAAGGTTTTTTTTGCGAGTGCTGGGCACGCTCTTTCTCCGCGCGCATAGGCGCCACTACAGCTGTGGGGTCTTGATAGCTCAGCGTAAACCATATTAGGTCCTCCCAACCCTCTACCAGGGGCTTAGGGATTAAGTGGTTGCCCTAAATAGGGAAACCCCAATGTAGACCCCAGAATACTGCAATCTTTATTATTGGGAGCCCCAACATAGTACCCCCAATTTAGGGAAACAGCCATTTGAGGTGGAAAGGTTAATGGTCATGAGCTTAAGCTTTTCTTTACGTCTAAGTCTAAGCTTAGGGTGAAATGCTTTCTGCTGAAGCGTTTCGGATTTTGGGTCTTGGGTGTGGGGTCAGGATTGTGGCTCAGTCTTGAGGGTCTGGTGGTTCGAGCGAAAAGTTGTTTTGTTGAGTTGGTCGAGGTCGCAGTCCGGTCGGAGGTTGCGAGTTCAGGGTCGAGATGTAGGGCTTCGAGATTTGAAGAATAATCCTATTGGGAGGCACTTACTAAGGCCATGGACAGTATATTTTTGTTTTCCTTGATATTTTGCTGCTGCCTCTTTGCAGGACCTTTGTGATGTGCAGAAAGGGAACAATTCGAGCAAGAACATGCAAACGAGACGCCTCGTGGCAGTAGTGGTGAAACCTGGGATGCTGTTGAGGCCATGTAAAAGGAAGTCGTCCATCATACGATTGAGGAGCTAGGGTAACGACAACAAGAACCCCGCGCAAATCGACCCAACGTTCCCTAAAGTCGGAGGTTGGACAAACTTCCCTAAATAGTAGTTTCCATTCTGTTTTCAGTTATCCCTATACAACTACAACATATACCCTATAATCTCTATATAATCCCTTCTCGAAATTCTCATATAACCTTTGTGACCGAGATGCATGAAGAGCTTCTCTAGACGCCGCAACGGGTCGCAGACCACCAGAACCATCTTCACAGTCTTCCTGGGTTGCTGTTAGAGTCCCGTTAAAGGGGGAGAAAAGAGGATACAGGTATGTATAGGGTTTAATGTGCTAAAATATCCCCTAATAGTGGAGAATCACATGGAAAATAAAACGGAAAATGAAAGAAATGGAAACTGGTGGATTTGGTGATTTAAGGAACTCAGTTTAAGTCACTGCTTTGGGGACACCATATAAATCAGTATGTGTATATACATATATATACATATAGATATACATTGTGGTAACTTAATTTAAGTTCCTTAACAGCAACCCAGCTTCATGAGGAAGAGCGCATAGTAAGACCTAAGCAGGGCTGTGTGGGGGCAAGAGTTAGGCTTTGATTCTTGGTTTCGAAACCCTCTGGGCTCAAGCTAAAAAAGGCCTATTTAAAGATAGCTGCAATTGAAGCTAAGTGGAGGGAAACCCCTAAACCCTAAACCCAAGGGGGTGGATCCAAGGAATAAACAGAAAACTTAATAACAAAAACTGCCAATACAATCTGTACAGTTCATGCCACCTGCACAAAAATCACTTGGGCAAAGTCGAAAATGTCCATAAGGTCTCTTGAACTGACAGCCCACTTGGCCAGTTATGTAAGTGGATAAAACCTACAAATCATTTCCAAAACCTGCTCCAGGCACAGGGGATAGTACGAAATCACAGGGTTGTTGAGGCCCAGCAACTTGGCACCAACTCCCTTGCCTCAGGGCATGGAACCTTCAACGAGGAGTCCTTTGGGGTTTAGGGTTGAGGGTTTGGGGTTTGGGGTTTAGGGTTTAGGGTTAGGTTACCCTAGGCTGATGTCTATAGATGGGCCTCTATTTGGTTCCACCTTCGTGTGGGGGATGCTAAAAACCTGATCTCAAGTCTCTGAGGGACTTTTCCCGAAATCTATGCAAGACCCTAAGCCCAGGTCTTGCTTACAGGTTGTTTGTAGGCAATGGAAGCATGAATCCAACTAGTAGGCCCTGTATAACACCGAATAGGCTAGTAGTTTCCATTGACCTTTCCATTCCTTAATTCACTACTAATGTCCGCCAATTTTACCCTAAACCTTGTGTATCTATCTGCATAAGTTATGCATAACTTCATGAATCTCCGTTTTCATTTCATTTGCCTTTGATTCGGCATTATTCCCTACCAACAGCCCTAAGCCCTCAACAGCTGCCTGCATAGCTTGCCTGATGATTCTCAATTTGCCGCTTTGTTGGCACAAACTTGGACAGCTGCCCTTGACCAAACCTGAGACAGAGTCGGTCTACAGTCATCCCGGGCCTAGGATTTAGGGTTTAGGAGAATTTCAAAGTAGAGGGCCCTTGGGGATTAATATGTGAATTACCTCCCAGATGATGGACATGGGAGGATATGGACATGAGTTTCACCAACGTCAGGACATGTTGAATATCATGTTGACCATGAATTACACTTACCAATCTCTCGCAGGGCTTCAACTCTTGTTTGATGCGCGTGCGAAAGCTCTCGATTTCTTCAGGGGTTCAAGCACTGATAAAGGACAAAAATACCCAACCTAGAATCCTGCAAGCTACGCAAAAACTGTTCCCTCATATCCCTTGCATAAGTATACTTCGGGGTCACGGAAGTAGCAGGGCGTTGCTGAAAATAAAACCAGAAACAAGGTGTAGTCCTCGTCAGACTTCC